TTATTGAATCAGTTGGCGGTGGCGATGGCCAGTCGTCCCAGTCCTCTGGCACTGTCGGCATCACAGACATCGCCGGTTGCAATGAGAACGAGTCCATCGATGACAGCGACTGTCACTCAGAGCTGTAACAGCACTCACTCGACCCCATCGCCCAACTCTGGCAAAGAGCAGATCATCTCCTCGTCAACCCTTCACTCGCAGAACCAATTGAATCAATACATGAATCAGGTATTCAAGTAACTCAAGTCCTTCTCCTCTTTACTCAAAACATGAAACTTTTGTTTTGAAAATAAATTCAAAAAAGCAATACTTAAGGGAATTGTCTTGAGTTTAAATCTCAGATAAATCAGTGTCAGAGGAACAGGAGCTTGACTTATAGTTTAGCTGACTTTTAAGTTAGCATAGAGTACAACAGTAACCAACAGTAGCTAACAGTGCTCTTAAGGGCTGTTAGAGTTGATTGTGCAGAATGTCTGCGTGCGAGTCCTGAGCCCAGTCTGTATGGCATTGTCTGACATGACTTCTGTAGTTTCAATGCATTGTCTTCATCTAATATATGAAACATTTATTCAGTCATTATTTAGAAAACCATAAAAAGAGAGCTTTCATTCAAATTAGATATATTCTGAATGGCATTCCTTTAAACCGTATAATAGATGTAATGCTTTTATAGTGAACTCTTAACTCTTTTAAACGCATTCGTAGTCCTCATAAACTGTTGGTTAAGCTATTATTCAAATAGTAATAATTTATTTATAATATAAATTTTATTACAAAATTATTAGCCAATGAAAAGGAGGCTAATGTTTAAATAAAACTACATTTTATAGTCACTTTAGATAACGCATTATAGCATCAAATGATGATCTCTTGTCAAAGCAAATGTCATTTAATTGATTTCCAGTAACTGTATTGAGTTTCTTGTGTGCAATGCATTTGAAACCAAATCTATTCTCAAGATATAAATGCTTTTCCATTAATTTCATATATAATTTATATGATGTACTGCACTGTAAGGCAAAAGCAGATACAGTTTGCGTTGAACTGATCGCAAAAGTTTAAAAAACTCATATACTCTGCAAAAATATATTAAAAGCCTAAAGGCGTCAAACTTGCATTTCACCAAAAAGTGCTTTACTATTACTATTCACTCTCAACCCTTTCCATTGCACTGCTTTCCCCACAACCCCGACCCCCTGCCAACCAAATTATAATCTTTCTCTCACACAATACCAAACCATCGCATAGAACCCTATCTTTAAGTATTGGAGTCAATTCAACCGATGGCTCTCTCTCTCTCTCTCTCTCTCTCTCTCTCTCTTTCCCTCACATTCATCGACAGAAACCCCTTTTGTTTTTTTATGATTCTTTCCATTGATTTTTTGTAGTTTCGGAAAATCCCCTCAATTTTCACTACAATATATACACTGTTTTGTGATATTCTTTAGAATTAGTATTTCTATACAATAGTTCGACATTCATATAAATATTCATTAAAAATTCTTTGCAATCGATTCTAACCAAAGAATTTTAATATTAAATGAAAATAGTTTTAAATAAACGGTTTATTTAACTACAAAATAAACAAATTACACATTTATGTTAGATTTTTACGTTAAGAATGATTTTCACAAATAAATACTATTTTGCAAAATCTCTTTACAGAACTGCATTACTTTCAGAAAGTGTTTTTGATTTGATTTTCGAAATATTAATAATTTATTTGACAAACAAAGTGAAAGAGAAATTAGAGAATAGATTGAATTAAGAGAATAGAGAAGTAATGGGAATAAAAGTAGAGAATAAGGAACTGAATGCTGTGTACTGTCTATGAATAGGTGTCGTCGGCAATGATGTGCAATGAGTACAGTCAGCCGAGTAGTCCCATAACACTGACCCCCGTTCTGGTCGAGAGTCAAATACAGCGTCTGTCAGAAGTGGCCGAAGTGTTGGTCAAAAACTTGCCGCCAATGGATCCGAAGCCTCAGTTGGGAAACAATAAGAAAAGAATGAGTAAAGAACTGGAAGTAAGTGAAAGACACCACAGTTTGCAACATATTGTCTCATTCAATGTGTTATACAGTCATTGTGTTTAGATAATATATTATAATGAACTTATTTTTGAGTCAAACTTCAAACAAAAGTTCCACACAATATGTTATGAGAAAAGAAATGCAGAATTTATTCACAAAATTCACCAAAAACTAGATTTTCATAAATATTATCCCCAAATGAATACACATTAAAGACGTAGACTCTGAGCACTGGTAGAGATAGAGAAGCTCCTCATCAGAAACTCCATGTCTTTTCTCAATTTAATTCACGCTTTTCTCTCCCTATACTAATCGAAACCAACTAATAAGGGTTGGAAGGGTTGGGTCACTATTCCTCTCCCAATGCTTTTTATTGTGCAATCAGTTTACGCTCTCATATGCACTGCACTATTGATTCCTATATACAGTACAGACTCCACTCCACTGTACTCTATGTCTAAAACATGTTCTAAAGCCTTCACTCTTTCCCCAAAAGCGTTCAAATAAAATATACACTCTTTTATCATTCATTTCTTTAACTCTCTCTCTCTCTCTCTCTCTCTCTCTCTCTCTATTTTATTATTTTATACAACAGTTAACACTATCTTATACTGTATATTAGCAATACATTACTGGCTTAAATTCAGATTATTTTGAGTTTAAAACTAAAATCTTTCTCTCTCTCTCTCCTCTTACTTACTCATTGAATCAATGACTTCATTCTTAAAATAAAAACAAAAAATAATTGACAGAACAATCAATATATTGGGAATTATTGTATAGTCAGAAGTACCTCTTACTGTATATATTCCTAATGATTGCTAAAGTGTTCATAAATTGGAGAAAAACACAATTAAGCATTACTTCACAATCTGTTTATTTGAATATCGATTGCTGATTAGTTCATTTTTAGGGTTTATAAAAAAAACTCTTTTATTATTTTACAAATAGTATTTCTAATTTAAATTCACGGATTGGTTGCTTATTTTTATAAAATATTTATAATTGCAGTTTAGTTTTATGCATGCAATTGGATTATAATTTTGAAACCAAACAAATGTCAATTAAGTGACCATTAATTTGGATTTAAAATTATTTATTATATGGAGAGAGAGAGAGAGAGAGAGAGAGAGAGAGAGTTTGGTGGAGTGGAGTACAGTATTACTGTATATTTATAGGAGAGCTGTAGGAATGGTAGGAATATAGAGGGGATCTACAGGTTGTCACTTGACATAACATTAACATAAAGCACAACTGAGTTGACATAAACTTATTTTATTAGAGCCACAAAATTACACTTTTATTGTGATTCACAGCCCAATAGACTGTCATAACAAATCAGTTTGAAGTGAAAAGTTATATATAAATGTAAATTAGTATTCAGACAAAACAGATATAACATCATTAATAGATATAACATTAGTTTATGCCTTGATAACTTGATTAAAACGAAGGCTCAGTTTGCAAATCAAGTCAGACTTATATCGAAAATGTGAGCCAATACTACACACAACTCAACAAATATATTGTGACTCTAATTGCAAACAACTTTTCTTCAAACTCTTTGATGAAGTGAACCAAAGCTTTGTTTTGGTATTGAAATTAGAATTTTTCTCAATTGCTTACAAAATGATTAGTTGAGAGCACTTATGGCTGTACTGAACACTACAGTAGTATAATATACACAATACTGTATACAGAATACACAGAATATAGTGAGGAATATATGGTTTTTGTTTAATTTTGATGAGCAGTTCGTAATGAACATGCCTGAGGACGACCCCCGGCGTATGGATGAGATACGAAAATATGCAGCAATTTATGGTCGCTTTGATTGCAAGCGAAAGCCTGAAAAGCCGCTTACGTTACATGAGGTGAGTCCTACTCTCAGCTTATTATTACATAATTATGATTCTCGAGTAGGCGTTCAGTTGAACACTATTCCCTACTTTTATATCATATCAACACATCTATACATCCATACATTGCATCTCAAACTTTCATATATTTATGCATATATTTCATCGCCTTATTAGTTATCATTTGGATAAGACTTTACTTTCATACCATTAAAATGCTTATAGATTGCAAATGTAAATGCATAGCCTTGTCAATTTATTATATACAAACAGAGATCAAGTTGATTTGAGATAAATAATATAATAATATTATTATTTGCAAAGGTGTCGGTGAATGAAGCGGCGGCACAGATATGCAAACACATTCCGGCACTACTTTCCCGTCGGGATGAGCTCTTCCCATTGGCCCGACAGGTCGTACGCGATAGCGGTTATCAGTACTCGAAGGGTCACTCCAGGTATGACCACGTGGTTGACACCATACCATTCATTTGTTACTATTTAAAACGAATGGCTAGATCTCAGAGCTGCACAAAAGCCTTCGATGACTCGGATCCGAGTGCTTGCAAAAGAAGTCGCACAGAGTCTAGTCCTAACTCAGTCCTCGACATCAAACACTTCACCGATGAGGACAGGAAGAGGAAACAGGTCTGCATTCTTTGCATTTACTAAACATTATTTCATCTCAATTACTATCAATCTTATCATAACTTTTGGATATAATTTTCATATAAGAAGTATAAATTCATTTAATATGTTAAAAGTACAGAATATATAAAACAAGTAGTTTTCTCAAGTTTAATTCATTTAATCAATAAACATTTTCTTTTTTTAAACTAACTTTTATTTTACTCCAGATAAGTTATAATTTATAAATAATCTCAAAGTTTAATCAACTTTTATTCTTATAATTAATAAACAAAAATCAATATGTTTGTTTTATGATAAATATACTGTACATTTATGATAATTTATCTGATATCAAGTTACTAATATCAAACCTAAAACAATAAAATATTGATATAAAACTGATCTAGTATATTAGTGATAGAATATGAATAGAAATAATAAGTTTGAATAAACATTGTATTCATTGAACTCGTCTCACATGAAGGATCGTTTGGAAGCGATTGTGGATCAGTTGAAGTCATTGGGTTCACAACACGAAGACCTCAAACTACAACTACAAGAGGCCAGTGATTTGCATAACTTTCAGAGAGTCAGTCAATTGCAAAATGAATTGGATGTGATATCAACCCAACAAATGCAACTCATCAATGAACAAAGCGAACTCAACAAACATATTAAACGCTATGAAAGGTTTGTTGCACTAACTTATCATCCATTCGCTAGTACTCTATCATGTAATACACAGTTCACCACATTTGAAACGATTCATTCATATTTCTTATTAAACATTAATATGAATCGATTAATTAACATAAGCTGAAATTCGCGAGACATATAGCACTCTAATTATGTTTTACATTCATATATGAATTTCTGATTTGAAAATTTGTCTAAATATTGAGAACATGTTTAATTAATAGGTTTTGTGTAAGCAATCTAACTAGGCTATGTTTAAAACAATATTTTCTCTATTTTAAATATCTCATGAAAGTGATCAAATAGGACACAATTAGAGTTCTTATGTACTTTAAATTAAATAACACTAAAACATATTTGGTATTTATTACATCAATTTATATTAAGATAGCGACTAAAATAAATTATAAAACTGGAATTCATTGGAGTTTATGTGAATTTATATAATGAATACCTATCACTACTGTACCTGTACTCCACTTTTTTTTATATTTAGTCATAGCTTAATATTTTCTTTTTCCTTTTGTTTTTTGAATTTATTTAATAACATTTTCCTTGAGATAGTCGCCAATACTCTCTCTCTCTCTCTCTCTCTCTCTCTCTCCCCTCAGATATCCAATAATTTTTCTGAAATATTTAAATATAATAATAATTTTCGCATATTTTGAATCTTGTTTTGTGCTTAATATTATTTTTGTCGCTATTGAAGTGTTGGTGAAATGAATCACATAACATATTATAACAGTTTTAAATAAATGTAAATTTAGACTTTTTATGTTCAGTACAAATGAAATATTTATAAAAACATTTGAAATACAAGTTTTGAGACGTTCTTCAAATGAATTGAAGGTTTTTACACAAAAAAGTTAAAACACATGACGTGATTGTTAAGCAAAAAACATTTCTTTGAACACAAAAGAAAAAGAAAACATTTTATTTCATTTACTTATTTGTCTTTAATTAGAAATTTGAATCATTTGATTGCAGTTTTTATGGGAAAATAAGTTTTCTAAACCAAAATCTGTATTTCCCTGTGAAAAATTCAAATAACTTGACAATAAATTAAAAATAGAAATAATTATGACTTTTAAAAAGCAAATATAAAGTACTTTTAGCATAAATTAGTAAGTCTTTGACAAAATGGCAACAAAATAGTAGACTCTCGTATAAAAAGAGTGATGAATTGTGTTTAGGTCTACAGAATAGGAATTAAATATTGAATTCAGAATTGGTTTGGTTTTGCAAAGCCTTCAACCCATTAGCAGAGCATCCAATTTGTGCTGTAATTCATTACGACCTATACGTTGGGCTTAAGTTTGCAATCATTTGAATATTCATGACTTCTATTGGCTTTAGATTTGCTTTTATATGAAGTTAGAGAAAATTCATGGTTTGAGTCCTTAAATGTCAATTTTGACGCTTTAGTGGCTTCTAAAACAATAAATCGGTTAAAAGTTCTTATAATGATTGCAACTAATTTGCATTCATTCACAAGTCCTACACTTTCTAATCACTTCTTAATACTACTAATAATGTAATGCAATTGTAATGACAAAAATTTTTGCCAATTTGACACTTTTATCAGTACATCATTTGTCGTTCAAATCACTTTTTGATACATTCATTTATCAAGTATTGCATTCACTCATTCGCCTTGCTGCAATTAAAACATTAAAAATATTTCTAATTTTACTTAATTCTAACATTCATATAAATATTGATGTATTTCATAACATTTACTAATTAATGAAACATTTATTTTGTTAAGAATTCTGATGAATAGAAGTTTCGGTCGTTTTGACGACAAAATAGACACGGATGACACAGGTTTGGCATTGATTAGAAAAGAAAATGTTTAAAACACATAATGATTATTAATGAGAATATTTCGATGACCGCATAGACTCGCAGTTCTCGTTGTACTCCAACTCGTCGTCTCCTTCAGTGATTCACGACTCGCACCAAAACTCTCCGAATAACGACTCGCAGAACAGCTCTTCGGATGGATTCTCGAAACTGCTTCCAAGTTAGTCAACCATTTCACTGCTGTTTCTCACAATTCATTTCAATGCCTAAAACCCGACTCTTATTTAAATTAAATAAAACATTTGAAGTATTTTTAATACTGTTAGCCAAGAAGACGGGCAATTCTGTGGCCGCCAACCATATAACCAAACAGTTGGTTCAGGAGACGCTTATGGATGAGGGCCTCAGAGTTGTCAAGGAGTTGACGGATCAGATCAAAGAGGATGGAAGTGGTGTCGATTTGCGGGTCTTCAATAAACTGTCGGACTCTCCGCGCACTTCCAACTCGTCGTCGAGCTGTACGGTGTCCTCGTCTTCGCCACAACTCGACCAACAGCGACACCTCTATAAACCAGACACTCCCAGACCCAGGGGTAGACCACCGAAGCTCATTGATTACGGACAGCCGCAGATATACCAAAACCAATTACTAACTCAAAGCCATAATAATAATCACAATATTCCGCATCAATTCTTACAAAGTTTCGTTTCATCTCATATTCAGCAAAGTTTAGCCCAAACGGCCCTTCAGTTCAATATCAATGGATTCAACAACTGTTCCAATAATTCGTTGACTGACGACGATATCAATGACGTGACCGACACATCAAACGGTCATTTCGGTCAACCGGACTCACAAAAGGGTGATGTCTTGAGTTCGCCCACAGATCTCTCCAAATATAACAACAATTCCGCTCTCATTAATGGTTCCAAAGATTGCAATCTATCGGTTGACTCAAACACATTAAACTCGTTAATCTCAATGAATGGCAACGGTATTAGCAATGAACTTCTTAAGCAGGAAACCCTCGAATTGTCCGCAAATTTAATATAAATATTTTTTATGTAACTTTTATGTTAATATTCTTTAATTCTTTTCTTTTATTCATATGAGATCTCAGTTACAATCAGTTTTTATTATGTTCTCATCATTTGAGTGCAGATTTAATCATACAATTTGTTCAATTGATGTCACAATTAATGCCAAATTATTTTTGTTGTCGTTATTATTATTATTATTATTATTATTCGTGTCAATGGATGGGTTTTTGTGCAATAATCGTGTTTTTAGAATTAGGCAAACAATTTGCCAAAAGTATTCACATTTACATATAATGGGCATTAGACCAATGTTTTANTTATTATTATTATTATTATTATTATTCGTGTCAATGGATGGGTTTTTGTGCAATAATCGTGTTTTTAGAATTAGGCAAACAATTTGCCAAAAGTATTCACATTTACATATAATGGGCATTAGACCAATGTTTTAACTTTTACTGTAGATTAAATCATTAATATTTAAGGAAAGCTTACATTTTTCAGTAATTTAATGAAATAAAAATAAGAATTAATATTTATATGAATGCAATCTTTTGAGGAGATATTAAGCGAATGAGAAAACAATGAACTTATAGACAACTAATGCCTTAAATTTGATATAAATTGAGAGTAAATCAATTGATTTGAAAGGGAGTCACGTAAAATCAGTGTAAAGAGCAGTCTATAAGTTATGAATTGTTTTTAGATATAAACGGAAGAATGACTGTGATTGGGATTGCATTTGATATTCAATTTACGAATTACTGCATTTCATTTTGATTAGTAAATGGGCTCGTCTTCAAAGTACGTATTCATTTGCATGGCAATGATTTTGTCAAACAAAATGGCACAGGGATAGTTTGTTACGTACGTTGATTTCTGGGAATATTTGATTGCTTACTTCGATGATGATGCCTTATAAACTTTATTATTTTTCATTTTCTCTACTCTCTGGTTGTGAAATGCTTTATTTTTTCTTAATTTTAATTTGTATTATCTTTGAATTTCTGAATATACAGTAATCTCATTTTACGGTATAAGTATTATACAGTATATAGTTAGATCTCATTTAATAGTTTGTCTACTTTTGCTATGATTATAAGAATAACAAATAATTTTTTTTTGTTAAAATTTAGTAAATATTAAGCAATTCTTTAATATTTAAATTTAATTTTTAATTGAATTTTGAGTTTTTTAATCATATATTATTTTTAAAAATTAAATATACTTTTTTTACTGAAATTTTGATTAAGAATTTTGAATCATGAATGGGAACCAAACACAAGAATTGAATCTCTATGAGTGCTTTTTAATTTAATATTTCGTAAATATGTTTTTAATCAAAATTTAGTTATTCGGCTAATTTAAGCAAAAAGACATTAAACGTATTCATTAACAAGGTTTCAGTTATCAAACGCTCCAATATTTTTTGGTTAGAAAATAATTTGTAAAGATTTAGAAATATGAAATGCATTCATAAAATAATTAATTTCGTGATAATTATTTAGAAAACAAGAAAATCATTATAAAACGTAAACTTGGTTTTAGTAAATTCCGTGCAATTGTTATGTTTAAGACTTCTTATGATTAGAAAAATTACAATTTTTAATATAACTAAAAAACTAAAAACGAAAAAACGAACTTAATTGTAAGAAAAGTAGTTTTGTACTATTTTAGCAAACATTCAATTAGTTCAGTGAATTATATTTGGATTTATAATATAGTTTTTGTTTTCATTTTTATCAGATATAGTTCTTATTATTTCTATATTCTGTATATTTTTGTCACAATTATTTTGATTTGAGCTTCAGATGTGGTCACAAGAATTGATTACTTTTTAATAGAAGTTTGAAATGTAAATAATTTGTGATAGAATTAAAATATTAAGATTAAATCAATTCAATCAATTAGCTTTATACGTTTGAATAATCATTTTGGCATTAATTGCTTATCAATTGGTTCTGTGTATCAAATTTGTTTTATCAAAAATATTGATATTTATAATTTTACAATAAGTATAAAATAAATGTTAGTCTCGGCTACAAATATATTCTTATCCAAAAAAACTTGCCATTGATTTGAAAAATATTGTCCATTTATATACGATCTAAATATTAATATTATAGAAGATCTCAAGAAAACTGTTTTTAGTTAATCAAACAAATGATTGATTTGAGTAAACATTTTCTATTGATTGGTGTAATTGTATAATCATTTTATAAATAATTTAACACAAATTTCAAGACATATCTGAAACAAATTGAAGCAAAAAATCAAATCCGTGTCTAAATTTTACAATTGTATCGAAGTGTTTGTTTGAATGTATACTCAAATTCAGTTTAATGTCCAAAAAATATGTATAGTTTTTGCTCATTTGAATGCAATTTTGAATATTCTGTATAAAGATTAAGGATTAATGTGTTTTACAAACATTCATAGAATAAGTGAATATTATATATAATGAGTCAAATCTATTCATATTTTACAAAGAATTTCAAAATTCTCAATATTTTAATTATGTTTCACAAATTTATATGAATATTTATATCATTTCATTAATATGACAGCATACTTTGTAATGTTTAAATTAATTTCTTCTCCATAATTATTGTAAATATGATAATAACGTATTTAACAAAAACAAGTATTTGTTATAATTATTAAGTTGTTATAACATATGAAATAACTAAATGTTATTACAATTGTATTAAATAATAGAGTAATTGAGTCAATAGTCTGATTAGATTTACATTTAGTTTGACATTATGTTAAATATTTCATAGGAATTGTAGTGAAAGTGAAGACTTGAAACCATATTATTAATGGACATGACATATAATCTTAACATTAAGATAATTGTAACAAATGTTGATTCATAACATTCTTCGCCTTAAATTATAAATTCATAATTCTTGTCATTATTTCATTCATTACTTGAGAAATATTAGCATTCCTTCTCTGAATATTATGTTCAAACTTAAATAACCAGAACCTTTAAGTTAATAATAAAAATTTGCGATTATAGAGATTGCATATTTATAAAGCAAACAATTAATTCAATTCTTGATCAATTCAAATATGTTTACCAATACTGTATAATCGATTATTTCAATCTCAACATTCAATTTGGTTTTAATTGAATTTGTTTCAAACAATTTTATAGAAATTAGTGCTTTTTACGGAAAACTTGTATAAAACATTTAATATAGGTAAACATTTGTAATAATTTTGATTAGGTTATATATTAACACATTTTAATTTAATTAAATTATTTGAAATCAAGATTAAGAGATTACATACAAAAATTCAATGAGCATGTATTTAAATTGTTAATTTTAACAACTTTAACGTGGTATAACTTATACCTGATCCAAATAAAACCTAGTTTTAAATGTACTGTATATGGATCAGTGTATGACTGGAAATAACGAGATTTCAAAGAACTTGTCAATCAAGGATTAGTATTATTCCGTTCAATCATTCTATGATTAGACAGTTTTTAATTGAATTCATTGTAAACATAATGAAAGTGAAATAAATGCACTAAAAGTGTCACTTTATTGCACTCAACGAACATAGCATTGAATAATGTGTAGAATTCCGTCAAATGTGTCCCAAGAATAGAGTGCAGTCGAAGTCTCGATACACTAAAGTACAGGTAAAGTACCTTGGTGAAAAATTACTTCAATAAATTAATTTGATGTCTTACGCCGTAAGACTTACGGTAATGCTTTACATTAGATATAAATATTATCATATTTGTATATGATATATTTTAATATTTATTCTGGCAATTACTGTAATGAAATCTAATAAATAAGACATTTTACAAAATTATTTAAATAAGATTAACAATGCGTTAACGAGAAGTGATATTACATAATGCGATTAAAACAGCTTGATTTATAAACATTTAGCATGGTATAATAATAATATCTAGGTCTTGTAATCTAGCGGAATGTCTTAAGTGACCAAATCGGTGGTGACTTTTCCGACATCC